TTTTATTTTATATAAATTATTCAGATACAAAATATCTGTTACATTAATTAACAGTATTTCTCTTGTATATTACGCACTTTGACAATATGTCGAAAGTTACGCTTTCAAAGATTGTAATCAATCAGTGATGAATCTGAAGTGATCAAAAAAACTACTTTCTTCTGCAAATATTTTTTCAAACTCGTTGTCAAATAACTTACACAAATATGATGAAAATTCGTTCAATAATGCTTATTTGATGTAAAATTATTGACTTTTTTGTTTAGTTTTTTGATAAATATGCAAATTTTGAATGCTATAAAGGCGAATAAATGCTTCCATAAGACCACTGCTTTCGACTTTTTGAAAACTTTTCGGATTGGAGTGGTAAGCTATCAGTTGTGTTGAAGGGCTTTTCAAGAATCAGTTTGCTATTCCTTGATTCTATCTTTTTTCTGTTAGAAACTGAATTCTTGGCTGCTTGTTCTAAGTTAGCTAAAGTTTGTATCCGTTTGCTTGCAGATATAACAATCATTAATTCTTGCAAGCAAAACTTTTTGGTATTGGAGATTATAAATAAGTTTTTATAACTCACTAAAAATATTTTTATTAAATTATGTAAAACAGGCTAAAATCGAATTTAAAAAGTCATTTATCACTGTAAGAGTATCAAAAACTCACAAAAAACTGATAATGATAAGCAGATGAAACTCAAGTTTGTCTTGCAAACTTAGAGCGTTATTTTAAGTCCAAAATAACAATATTTTTACATTAGAAAGACTTTTAATAAATTTTTGAAAAAAGTTAAATTCTAATTTTGCTAATATTTTTAATTTTTATAATTGCAGTATGGTTTTTTTCAAATTTATTCAATATTTTTTCTTCACAATAAATCGCATGAGAATTGTGCAGATATTCAGATTATGAAGTTGATTATCTTGGCTCAAATTATCACTCTCCTTGTCACTCAGCTAGTACTGCTTGGAAATGCTAAAACTGAATGCTCAATATCTAATTTTGATTTGGTTTGTTCATTTTAGATCGTTTTTCAAGTATCATAACGAAAGTGATCCGTACGCTTTCTTGATTTATAGATCAGCAAATTAGTATTACTTGCTTAGACAAAGATTAGTGATTTACATATATCTACAATCAATTATTGTGAATTATAAATTAAGTTTAAAAAATTGCGTTTTAGGCTTTTCCAAATTATGATTACATTGTCTATGGGATTCGAAGTGATACGAAAATTTTCATTGCACCAAAGAATTTATTAAAAAAACATACTGAGTAGATCTCTCATTTTTGTTATTTATTTTAACTTATTTTTTATAAAAATCTGAATTTTAAGCATTTAATTAAAATTGGAAGTTAAAAATCATGTTTGCGATAGATATGTTTGAGCATTATCTACTTTAAAAGATAAGTTAAAATGAAAGTAAGAAAAAAAATGCTAGCTTTTCTCAACGTGTATTTTAAAATAATAATAATTTTCAGTTTATTTGATATTTCATGGTTTAACTCATATTCAAATTATTATTTTTAAATGTTCAAAATTTTAGCGAGAAATTTCGCTTTGCTTTGAAAAATGATTATGAACCTGCAACACAAGCAACAGAAGCTATTTTGTATTACGAAGTACGTCAACTTTTAAATTATTTGACTTACAGTTCTTTTAGATTACCATATAACTATAATTAATATAACATCACTTTTTTTAGAACTCAAATACACATTAAAAATATAACAGCACAAATTTCTTATTCTACTTTTGAGTATGAAAATTAGAACTAAAACTCATGAATGAGTAAGCTTACTTATGTTAATATTAATGTGCTACTCTCGGCTATATAAGGATGGATGCTTTCAAAATATGAATAAAACTGTTTGCAAACTTAATCAAATTTCGCTTTCAGAATAATTTGCATAGCATTAAAAGTTGAAAACAAAAATCATAAATTGAATCAGATTCAATTTTAATTTTGAATTTGCTTTTTAGGCATTCATGGTAGAAGTTCATGGCTTATTACAATTCATAGCATTTTGGCAAGAGCCAATATATCGTGACGTTGGTGTTACGGAAGTGTTTGGATTATCACGTCTAACTTATGTGGAAGCATTTCGATTAGGTTTTGAACCACGGGAAAATCAGTTGTTATCGTCAATTCAACATACAACACTTTTATATTTCAGTGATTTGACAACTAATCATTTAAAATTGAGAACAACAAAAGATGGAAGGATTTTTGTATTTAAAACTGCTACAAATCACAATAGGCAGTATGAAATTATTCTTGGAGTAAGAAAAATGTTACAATTTTACTTTTCTATAAATTTTAAGAAAAAATTTTTCGCAAATTTAAGTTCATGGCACTGATTAAACAGCTTGATTGAATATTACTATAAAATCTAATTTTTTAAATTAATTTTAGTCAATTCTTGCTTTTTGATATGTTTAATATTTTTAACAAACTGTTTGCATGTCAGGAAAGATCATTGCATTGATTCCATAAGGTCATTGCATTGATTTGATAAGGTCATTGCATTGATTCGGTAAGGTCACTGCATTGATTCGACATGTAAAATATATCCTGAAAGATGACTACTTAAATTATACATAAAGCATAAAATGATATGCAAATATAGCCAAAAAGTAACTTAATAAAGGGTAGAGGTAGTCTGCTAGTTCTGCTGAAATAAATTACAGTTGGAATATTTTAAAAGTAACGAGTAAAAATAAGATGAAAAAATTTGAATCTGAAAGATATTATTGTAAAATAACTTTTTGACTTATCTACAACGTGGATTGATAATTTTATAAAATATGTTTGTAGAGGACTGGTGCAAAGCTGTTTGTAGAAAATACTATCGTTACTAACAGTCCACCACGGATAAGCAGGGACGTAATAATCTTAGGGAATCATAATAATGAATACAAAAAATGGTGATTATTATGATTTTTGATGAATAATATTAAATCAATAAGCACAAAATAAATATTCATTTGAACATAAAGTTTTAATCTTATATAAGGCTAAAAAACAAGACGTATAAAACATGTTACACTTTTGTATTGCGCAAATTACGCTATGAAAAAGTGTAATTAAAAAGTTTAGAAAAAGCATTGAGGGGTTTTTGCACAAAATAATTGCATAAATCTTAAAATAGGATGGCACGAAGGCAGAATATTTACGCTGTACATATGGATTGCGTTGGTATCGAAACTGCTAATATTAAGCCTAGTATCTTGTACAGCCGTCAAAATTTGGTTCAAGCGTACAAACGAATGGGAACTGCACCTTTTGATTGTAAACTAATATTTTTATTCCTAAATTAATAAAATGTTCATGAATAAACACGTAATTGTACGAAAATTTGACCTAAGATTATTTTTTCAAAAATTAGTGTGGAAGAATTTTTTGACTAAAATAGCAAGCAATCAGTAACAGATATTAAAAATGCATGTACTGAAGTTAAGTTCCTTTAAGTTATTTTTCATTTAATTTTATGCATTTTTATTTAAATTTTTTTTGCATACAATAATTTCTATTACAAAAGTCAGCAGAAAATTATGAGCATAAAATGCATAAATTATTTCTGAAATAATTTGTTCATCAAAGTTATATTTATTTTGCATAATTTCTAGGTGATAAAAATATGACTTGCGTTATGAACCTTAGAGCTACTGGTGCAGGAGGTAATTTTTTATAATTTTGATATCATTTCTAAGTAGCTCAATCTGACTTCAAATAAAAATCTTTTAGATCAAACACGATGATCTTAGTCTATGCATTGATTTAAGTAAGTTAATGTAACAGCATGCATAGATCGGTCAAAAGTGAGATATTCTCGATTTATGATCAATGAATTTAAGCTAAAATCAATTATAACTATTACTAATCTCTAATAATCATCACTGATAAGTTATTACTATTATCATTATTATTATTGAAAAGAGAGTTTGTTTTCGGAGTTTTGGGTACTGATTATTATTATCGTTAAAAATATATCTTTTCTAGAATAAAAATACCTTTATAGAATATTTCTTTACACTATTTTCCTTCTTCATAAATATTTGCATAAATTTACTGCAATACAAAAGTGCCAAGTTGTGTTTTGTTTTTCAGAGTTTCATTCCGTAGAATATGAACCCTCACACGCCAAAGGGTCAATTTACTTAGGAGCTAGAAACGGATATATTTTTGCTTATCGAGTAAACAATGAACAAGAAAAATTTTCACAAATATTATTCACACTTGATCTTGTCCGAGAAGTTAATGTAAATGGTAATGTCCTTTTGTTTTATTATAAAAGTGATTATCATTTAAATTATTTATGGGTATTTCTTAATTAAATTATAAAAGTTGACGTTTTTATAACTACAATTTTCAGGACTTATTAAGAAGCCAGAAGAAGAATTACACTTATTCTCAATCAACGGAAAAGAAAGTATTCTCGTTATATGCGGCCCTGTCACGTACTATCGACTCTACAACACGGATCCTGGGTTTATTTATTAAATTCACTTTGTTACAAAACTAATGCCAATTAATTATTCGTAAAACTATTACTTTAATGATTTTTTTCTTAATTGATTTGATATAAATTTAAGTAATTTTTAGCATTATTTGATTTCCAAATTACTATCCATAATTAAGTTTATTTCGATGTGTTTACATGTTGAACTGTCGCACCTCTGTCTGCTCAATTTTCGATTTCACATTATTAATATTAAATTAAATAAATTTATTACTTCTTAATTTGTCTAGGATCTTTTGCATCTTAAAATTTACTTTTATGTTTCATTTCCATACTTTATCGTATTGGTTTGGACTTCAAACTTTTCAAAATTTTATGAAAAAATAAAAAAAGTATATTAAATTTAGTATTAGCTTTGGATCATATCAGTTTTCTACTTGATCATCATTGTGATCAATGATAAATCAATAATAAAGTTTATTAATCATTTCAGAGACAGCATTAAAATTATTGATATTGTGAGATCAGAAATGTTTGTAGTCTCAGGATTGGAAAAAAAGTGTCGAAAAGTTGATTATGAAGCTAAAAAGTCTCGGCTTATATTTTTCATGGATGGATCTATTGCATATGAGTTAAAGTTGACTATCAATCATGACGGGCAGTTGAAAAAATTTGATGACCCTAAACTGGTTTGTAAATTAATAATTTATTTTAATATGAATTCTGATTTTAGTTTTATAGACAGTGCAACTTGAACTTTATTCTTCTATACGTACAATTTTCGTCTTCTTTGTTACTACCCACGAAGTACAATAATGATTCTTAACTGTACTCAAAAAAAATTACAGTAATTATTGGTTCAAGTTACTTTTTGATAGAATTTATTCATATTATCATTTTATCAATTTCAGAATAAGTTTGACAACTTTCGAGGTATTCAAGAACCTTATGAATATATTGAAAGCCTATGGCCATTGCATCTTCGAAATGGACGATCACTGTTTTATAATCCAGAGTAAGAACTAAAAAAATAAGCTCAAAAAAGTTTTGGGACAAAAAATTAAATCAATAAAAGCTAAAATTAAATCAATAAAACCTATGAATGTATAGATGCTGTTAGTTATGAAAATTATTCTTTTAATGCTTTTAATTATTACGAATATGTCAGTAGTTTCATAAGTTGTCAGTAATTTTGACAACTTTTGTAGGCAAATTTTAATGTCACTGAACTTTCTGTAAAGTTTAAAAAATACTCGAATTACTGTAAACTAAACTTACTCTGAGTTTTACGAGTTGATACGTCGATTTTTTAAAATTACTTACTTTGACCAAATGCTTTGTTATTTTTGCAATCATCAAATCACCACATATCGTTGCTATTCCAATATTTATCATTTTTATTTAAAAAAAAGTACTTATAATTTATTAAATGTTGCTGATATTATCGTTATGAATACTTTTTGACAGCACAAAAGAAATCGAAATCAAATACGGTCGCATCACGTAAGTAATCTGCGCTTACTTTCTTACTTTTACACTACTATCTGTATTGAATATGCATAATTGTATAAAATTTTACAAACAAATCTCCAATAACTCTAAGTTATTGAATTCACTGTTCTCATATCAAATCAGTATCATTTTTGCTCTATCTATTCACTAAAACAGCTTGGAGGCTTAAAACAGCATTCAGCTTTATATATTTCACTATTTCAGCTTTTCTAAGGATATTCCCGATGGCGAAACTAATATACAAATAAAAAAGTTGACATTGTACGGTAATTATTTGGATGCGCTTTCGTACTATCCCGAGGAATATATTGAAAATGAGTTTGCTATATTTTTTTCATTTACTTTTCACGTTTAGTTCATTCGTATCAGTAATTTGTGAAACGTAGAAAGCATTGTTATTATTAAGTAATATTATGAACTAATACTATTAAAGTATTTTAATGCATTAATAGCACTGTTGTTAAGTTAACTTAAACGTTTATGAATAATTTTCATAAAATACATAAAATTGAGTTATAATTTCTTCTTCTCACGTTTTGGATTTGAATGCACATCAGAACTCATAACTTTTTAATTTACTTTCAAAAACTCTCACACGTGTTATCAACATGCTTAGGGCCTCGTGACAGTCACGTCTGAGAGGCAAGTATGAGATTCGTGCCCCTCACACATGGCCTTCCTCAGGTTTTTACCTGAAGTAATTAACTGGCCAAATACCGCTTTATAAGGGTTTTACGGAAGTTGTTCACACTTATCTTCTTTTCTGTGCTTGCCTTCCACCTCGATGGCTTCTTTTCCCGCCTTGTCACATTCTTCATAGCATTGTTGCGTCATCTTGGGCTGCCTTGCAAGATCGGTCATTGACTTGGTGGGATTCTGTGTGGCATATTCGCTCGCCGCTTCGTTCAGAGCTACTAGTATCAACTTTCTTCGAGATTATTTTCCTCGTCCACTTCTGTAGTCTATCTCACGTCTTGAAGACTAACAGCGCACACGAAATTCTCGCAATACAGGGAACGACACAAGCGCCATTTCTCTCCCAGCATCTTTCCGAAACGTTCATGAACTCCTTTAGTATTTCCGTTAGTCAGCTGCGTTGCGAAATCTCGATTTCTTGAATGAGTAATCATTTCACGTAATCATTCGCTTCCTGGAAGTCGTCTGTGATGCGTAAGGCTCTTCAGAAACACGTTCCCAGCTAATATACTACTGATCTATTTGAATACTGGATTGTTCTCTCGTATTACTACCATTTCAACTCTTCTGGCGTCCTTGACGGTCGATACCACTATGCTCGCACTAGTATTTCCATCATTTACTTCCATAGTCGTATCATGACATGGCCATAACAGATGAAAGTAGCACAGAGAGAAGAATAGAAGCCAGAAATTACGAAAAAGTAGTGTGTTTCTTCCAAGATCAGGCACAGTCTACTATCACAATTACTTTAAACTTAGATGGTATAACCATATTCGTGCTAAGTTATTTCGGTATAAAGTTAGAATCCGTAGTAAATACAGCTGTAAATTTGGATTACAAGCCGTAAATTTACTTATTTTTGCAAAAATTTGTTTCATAATTTCTTGGTAAATTAAAAAAGATTACTTTGTAATTTGGTATTTTAAATAAATCTTAAAAAATGCATAGAATTCAAATTAATTGTAATTTGCGAAATTCAGATATTTGAATCTATTTCGCCAACAAACAACTAAATTTCCTATGTCATACTATGGTATACTGGACTGTACTTTTTTTGTAGTAATGAGAGTGGAAGATCTTACTAAGATTGTGCCAAACAACACAGGTTTGCAACAATTTATTGCTTATATTTAAATTTTCTTGCTACAAAATTGTTCAATTTTTTTGTATTAAAATTTTTGTATACAGATATGCGCAAATAATTTCTAGGATGTGATACATCATATAGTATGCGTGTTATGCTTTATGATTCTTACGCAACCATAATCCGAACTAAAAACTTTAAAGACATTGAAGCAGTAAGAATTAAAGTAGCAATCTACTATCGTCAAGTTTTCACAGCAATGAAAGAGTAAGTTAAATTTTATATTAAAGATATGAAAAGTCAAACATTTATAAAATTTTGGTAATTTTTTAAACTTTCAAATTTATTTTTAAACTTTTAAATAAAAAACTTTTCATATGCAATAAACAATATATTATTTATTATTTATTGCATGAATTTATTTTAATAATATTTTTCTGCGTGACACCCAAGCTATTATTCAGTTTTATTAAACAAATTCATCTTAATATTACAAACAAACTTACATCCGGTAGAAATTATTTATTATCTGAAATTCAGCATTATCTCTTCTAATTTGTAGCATCAAAGTTATTTTTGTATTATTTTTGCTGGTATCAAATGGAAAGTTTTGTTGATTAAAACTTGAAGGATAGTTGTTTTTCAATTCAAAAATTGAAATTTAAATTTTTTAGATAGAAATTTATGCTAACTTTTGCAGGAAAAAATCCCTCATTTATCAACGTAATATCGTAAATTCTGAATTTGATGCTAGCAATCAGTTTATTATTGCACCAAATACATATGGTGGTATCTATGTTCTTGACGATTATATTTATTATCAAGATAAGCCGTCTAAAGACTGCTTACTTTATTATAAACGACGTAAAATTACGCTAAGTAAAAAGAAATTGATTGAGGATTATGTAATGCGAGCATCTTCGGTAAAATTTCATTTTCTATATGCTAATTATTTTATTCTTGTCATTTTTGCTAGTTTGTATATATTTGTATTTCAGATTGCGCAAAGACCAATTATATCGGTTAGTTAGCTCAATAAATCTTTTCCATCAAATTATTCGAGTATTCAAGTAATCAGTTACAAAAATATTTCTAGAAAAATTAAATTATTACAGTGAAATATTACAAATGATTAATTAATTGCTTGTTTATTGATGCTATATTATAAGCAATGGTTAACTTTGTGTTTTGCGCATTAAAAGTTAACGTAATGTTTCTTCAGAAATAAGTATACTGTTAAAGTGAAAATGAATTAGTCAATTTTTGTAATTTGTTGGTTTTGTTGTACAAAAGTAATTATTAATATTTGAAGAATCCATGTCAATTTATAACGTATGCATTAAAAAAAGAATTAATTTGTGAGAAAAGATTGCTTTCAGGACTCATGTACTTTTACAATACGCTCTTCACACTACGATGAAACAATTAAAACAGTACTGTATGTGTTACAACAGGGTCCTGAAATTCATCTGGCTACTACAAATGTTAAGTATTTTGAAAGCCTTAAAATATTGAAGAAGCAATCAGCGCTGTTGTCGACTAATGCTTCAATCTTCACTTTGTATCCATATGTTCTTTACAGGTAAACTTTTGTTTGTTTTTGGTAAAAGTTTGAAAGTTTAAATATGTTTAGACTAGAAAAACTGTTATCTCTTGATTCTACTGAATTTAATTTTTCATTCTCTATAATTTTAAAAATAATTATATTCCAAATAGATATTTGTAGTTCTGAAAACTTGACTAGTTTGAAGTATAATTAGTTTTTTTTTAATATATTTGAATGTTTTCTGCATAGGTTTATATCAGTTGTTCTAAAAATTTGATTGAATTAGAAATATAATAAGTAATGCATCAAATTGTACTTGAAAAATTTGTTATCAAATTTGAATAAATATCATTCTTCAATACTTGAATTGTCATAAATTAAATTTATTTTCAGAGAAAAACGCGGGATTTCAGTTATAAGAGTGAACGATTCAGAAACGTAAATTCGTTTTGTTTTTGTTAAAATATAGGCAAGAAAATAGATAATAATGAATGAATAAAAGAAATGATTCACACAAATTTTGAATTCGTGGAAACAAAATTTGAATTAAAAGCATTTTTGAATTAAAATCAAATTGAATATTTGACACGTTCTTTTATTATTGAAAAATCATATCTTGCCTTTATAAGGATCAGCTTATGAAGCACATTTTTGACCAATTAATGTCATCCAAATCATAAAATCTACAATTTCGTTATTAAAAACAATGATTTTTACAATTTAATTTTGCAGAATATTAGTATTCGTCAATCAATCCTTTTCACATCTTGCCTTGTATACTGGAAGAATACTTTATGCTGAGGCGTAAGTTTTAGAAATAAAGTTTTAATTTTGTAGAATAAAAGAAAAAAGTCAATTATACAAATTTGGTAAAACTTTTTTAATAAAAGGAAATTATATTTGAAATGCATGATCTTACTTTTTCGTAACAATTTCTCAGTGGTGTCGAGCGTGTAATGGATTCAGAAATTGATGCAGTTGAAGATTTGGTACAAGAATCAACAATAGCAACTAAAGCTATGCCCAAGAAAGATTTTGAGAGTAATATAAAATTTAAAAGAAATAAACTAACTTAAAGCAAATAAAATATAAATTACTACGAATTCTAGAAAAAAGCAAATATGAAATCAATTTGTAAGTGTCACAAAATAATGATGGTATTTCTATGCCAAAATTATCAAAAGTAACAAGTTGTTTAACTAATTAATTGCTTTTGCTTTAATTGTTCATTTAAAAAAATTAACTTTCAGAAATAGTCTACGGAGTAGAATCAGAAATCATCGCAAGACCAGAAACTCATGTGAATCTATGTAAAATTATTGAAGCGTAAGAGTTTTTCTGTATAGTTTTTGGCAATAACTTCTACTTTCAACAAATTTATACGGTAATTTGTGCCCAGAACAATAAAGTTTAAGATTAGGTTTAAAAAAGTATATTGAAATATAATAAAAATTTGATTTATTTTTTATCTTAATTAGTTCTATTTCATTTTACTCTTTAGCAACAATTTTTCACTATTACTGACTATGCATTTATGTTAGAAATTGAATATTTATTAAACATTTTTAATAAGTATATTCAATATCACATGGAGGTTAATTATCCTTCCCGCTTTATTTATTCTGGCAATGGATCGTATTCTGGCTGTACTTGTTCCGCACTCAGATTTGTTGTGCTGATTTCCT